GGGGCAGGGGAGGGAGGAGCAGCTGTGTGCTCCCTCCAGCTCTGACTGTCCTTTGTTTGTGTGCAGGAGGAGCAGGACCAGGATCAGCCGGGAGTGGAGGTAAATGTTTGTCTGCAGCTCCATAAGTGTGGAGGCCAGGGCTGTATTCCCATGGGAGCCCTCCAGGAGCCCCCCCTGGGCTGTTTGAACCCAGCTTAATTCTATTTTTTAAAAGTAACCTCCTTTTCTTCCTGCCCTGCTCATCTCCACAGCCTCCATTAAACCAGAGCTGGCTCCATGGCTGTTTGTCCCTTGTTTTTGCCTCTGGAGGTGCTGGCACCCCCAGGAGAGGTGGCTCTGGGCTGGAGGATGACACAGTGTGCAGGGCAGGTGGTTCTTTAGTTTAGAAGTTTCTTTACCTATAAAATTGCTTCCAGCTTTTTTGTAATTACAGGCTGTGGGTGTTGCCCAAGGCTGGGAATAAGTGAATTCCTTTAAATTCTTTCATGAAGGAGGATAACAGTGTCTGTCAGGGGGGGAGCTGATGGTGACCCTGTGAAGATGTAACAACATTTGGGGGTCCCAAAACTAAGATCCATCCAATTTGACCCCACCCTCTTCTCCCACCCCCCAGCCCAGTTGAGCAGAACTGTTACCCTGTGGAGAGGAGGAAGGGCAGGGGCTGGGAGTCAGGATAAACCCGTGGGATCTATCAGGAATTACAGCACAGGAATTGTTCTAGAAGTCCAAGTTTTTAATTGTTTTTTTGAAGACAGCTTAAAACATGATTCTCCCGCTTCTCCACAGCAGTTCCTGTCCCCCATGTCCCCTTGGAGCTGGGGCAGCCAAGGCAACCCTGCCCTTCTCCATGTCCCTCCACCCTTGGGGCTGCTCCAGAGGAGTTCCACAGGTACAGACACGGCTGGGAACAGGCTCAAGTACTTTCAGTTACACTCTCAGGGCAGAATATCTGCTACCTAAGGTTCACAATTGAAGTTCCACAACATAAAAGAGTTCCAAAAAACCAAACTACAGCCAAGCAGAGAAGGAGTGGTGCTTTGACATCTCGAGGTTTACGACAGTTTATCGACTGACAACGGACAATTTCCCAATCCTGCTTCTCTGACCTTAAGCATTTGTGGCAAAATGTTAAGCTGTGGATTACAACAGGACCTGCAGCCTGGCCTAAAGCAACACTCCATGGTTGTGGCGTGCTCAGCATTCCTTGTGCAGCCTCCAGAGTCCCCAGCTCCTGGACTGAGGACTCTCCAACACGTGTCTCCACGGGCTCGGGGCGGCCTCACACCCACCTCAAGGTGCACAACCCCAGAACCAGTTTCAGCTTAGGCTCAGGCTACATCTCCACTTGCATTAAATACATTTATTGCAAACATCTTGACACAAAAATAGGTTCTCTCTAGGCCATTCACATGCAACGTAAAGGCGAGAAGCGACTACCTAGTACGACACAGAGGTTTAACCTACACACCTTTAATGTTCAGACCGTTCCCCCCGGGGCTGCCCCAGGGCTCAGGAGCCAGAGGTGTTGTTGCTTCCGAAGCGCTGGTTGACACTGTGCAGCAAGTGCTTGGGGAGGCAATTCCAGGAACTGGCCAGCATCTCCTTGAAGCAAATCACTGCTTCGAGGCACAGCCTGGGAGAGGGGAGACATGGATGCTGTCAGCAGGGGGAAGGTTGCAAGGAAAGCTCCTTCCTTGGAGATGGTTCTCATCAGCAGTGCCAAACACGTGCTGAGAGGAATCCTGCTCCATCCTCACAACTGGCTGCTGCTCTGCCAGCATTCCTTAGAGGAAGAAGTGTTTTCTAATATTTTAGGAACATAAACAGGTCTGGTGGTAACCCTACACCACTTATCCTAAAATCACAGAATGATTTGGGTTGGGAGGGACCTTAAAGCTCACCCAGTTCCACCTCCTGCCACGGGCAGGGACACCTCCCACTAGCCCAGGTTGCTCCCACCTGGCCTTGGGACACTTCCAGGGATGGGACAGCCATGGCTTCTCTGGGCAACCTGTGCCAGGGCCTCGCCCTGCTCACAGTAAGGAATTTCTTCCTGATATCTAAGCTGGGGACACGAGAGTTTAATGTTGAAGTCTTGCTTTCTTACCTTACAAGAGATCTTGGTTGTAGGGAGAACACAAGAATTTCGTTACTGTGAGCCTGGGGGTGGGGGGAGAGAGAGAGAGAGAAGAAAATGGGTTATATGAGTTCACACTGTTACAGCAGGAGCCCAGGCTCACCCACCCAGATCATGGAATCACAGAATGGTTTGGGTTGGAAGGGATCTTAAAGCCCATGTCCTTCCAACCCCCTGCCATGGGCAGGGACACTTCCACTAGAGGAAGCCTTCAGGTTTCCAAGCCTTCAGGCATCTGCACTGAGGGGCTTGGGACACAAGCAAACCATGTCCTCCTCAGGCTTTGTTTATGCACCTCTGTGATCCCCACAAGATCCCAATGCCACCTAAAACCAACTCAACTGGCTGGAGTGAGCTGGCACCGGGAAGGGAACGCTCCAAGTCAACTTACAGCTTTGGAGTGGGCGAGCAGGTTGTTGGCACAGCCCCCAAACACAATCACTTCTCCCTCCTCGCTGGCACAGGCCGTGTGCCACAGCCTACAAACAGAAGGCAGCACTGCATTAACCCAAAAAACCCCAGGAAGATCCCTCCTCATCCCTGGGAGCACTGAAAGCCAGGCCAGGAAACATTGCTGCTTTAACTCATTTAACCTGGATCAGAGCACTTCCCAAACAAGATGGATCCCAGGAACTCCAAGATGTGTTTTCCATGCCACCCATGTGCACCACAGAGGTTTTTGATGCTTTAAATTGCAGGTCATCAACTCTTATTTACTCAGCAGGAAGCCAAAACCATCCTGGGTGTGCATGGGCTGAGCCATCGGCTCCGTGACACTGGCCTGTGCCCGGTTTGCTGGGACAGCAGGGACACACTGGGTCCAGTTAGCTCTGCTGCTGAAAGTCACAGGCCTCTGCAGCCAAATCAAACCCTAAATCCCGAGATCAACCCCCAAATTCCATGTTTCCTGCCATTTCACAGACACCGAGCCAAAGGCTGCCTCCAGCACCTGCCCTGTGTGGTGCTCACCTGGAATTCTGGGAGCACAACACACCTGCACCTCTGGGACACATGGAAAACAAGAGCTGTGAAGAGGAACGTGTGTCCTGTCTCTCACAGCCACCACTAAGTGCTTCCACACTCCTTTTATAACAAGTTTCCAGGAAATTGCCTGCCATACCTTGGTTTTTCGGAATAGTTATGCTCAAACTGTATCCACTCGTTCTTGCTGATACAATAAATCCAAGCATCACCTGCAAACAAGCAAAAGTCCCAAACATAAACAGGATTCCACTGGTTCTGTCACATTTCCTGCAATAAACACGTACTCCAGTGGAGCACAGCCCATTTCTGTTCCTAAACAAATCGAGTATTTTAGGAAAAACCTTATAAAACATTGGTTCCTGTTTGACAACAGGTGTTTAATGTAACAGAGGTTTATGGGAGTGAAGATGGAGAACTGTAAAGCTCTTACTAACTGCAATTTGCATTAGATACACTTGTAGAGCAGATGATTTGCTATAAATAATAGAGTCTCCAAACACTCCACATCCTGCTCTGTGGAATTAGCTGTTGGCCGTGAGGAGCTGGATCACAAGTGCACAGGAGGAATTTAGAAGGAATTCAAGCAATAATTCAAGCTTCTGTGCACAGCTGTTCAAGAGCACAAAGACAACACCAAATCCCTTTGGAATGACTTACTCAGTGGCTGCTTGTCTGTGGTGAATCCTCCAAAGAGGAAGAGGTGATCCGAGGAAATCGGTGTTAAGGAATGCCACGACCGGCCGACTGGGCAGATGCCTTGTGTGAGTCTGGATTGCAATGAAAATTACACAAATTACACAGGAGGGACAATAAAATCCCACTGCTCTTTTCTGCTCTGGTTATTTTTCAGGGATCTGCAGGATTCAGCTTCGCCCTGTGCATCTGACCCAACAAGTTTGATTTCTTTAGACACAGCAAAGAATTTCAGCGGATCAAGTTTTAGTACCCACATTTCGTTCCACTCCCAAGTGTCCAGGTCCAGGTAGTAAAAGTCGTTCATCCTGGACTCCTACAACAAAGCAGATGGTGGTTCAGATACCCAGCTTAGGTTTGAGCATCCCAGGGTTAAACTGGGCTGGGCTTACCCTGTATCTGCCTCCGAACACGTAACCCCTGTTCCCAACCGTGGCACAGGCGTGAGCGGCTCGAGGGGACGGGGTTTTACCCTGGGAAAGGAAACAGTGACACCACAAACCAAGGAGAAAAAAGGCTCAGAGAAACTCAGATTAAAGGCCAACAAGGAACAGAGTGAAAAAAAACCCCAGCCAGTAAGTCATTCTGTGTGCAGACTTGCTTTTTGATAGATGGAGGATCAGCAAACTCATTAAAAATGGGATTTTTTTCCCTCTTGAAGTGTATAAATTTTGCTTTTAGCCACAAAAGACAGACTGTAAATGAGACAGTGGCATAATAAATCATTATGTGCATAAATCATTAAGTGTCCAAGGCCAATGTGGATGGGGCCACCTGGTCTAGTGGAAGGTGTCCTGGCCCATGGCAGGGGGTTGGAACTGGATGGGCTTTAAGGTTCCTTCCAGCCCAAACCATGTTGAGATTCTATGGTTGTATTAGATTTTATTTTTTCTTGAGTTTCTGAAATCCTTGAGACCTGTGTGCAGTAAGACAAAGCAATTCTTTGGCAATCTGGGGTTACTTGTCTCAAATTTCGTTTCCTCCAGCTCCGTGGCAATAGCACCCCTTTTCCCTGTTCCTGAATGCTTCAGGGACACTTCAAATGTGTGCATTTGCAACTGGGAGTGTTTAATTCTATCTTGGCCACACTTCAGCACCCAAGTGACACGTCCCAAAGGCTCACATTGCAGGGAGGGTGACAGCAAACCACACATTTCATTCTCTGGAGCTCCCCGTGAGCACAAGGCCACTGAAGTGTGAAAGGAAGCAAGTCACAGGGAAAAGAAAAAAAAAAGATGATGACAGATCAAAATAAAAGGCAAATTTCCTGGTTTTGAAGAGTGGATCTGTGTAGATGAATGGTTTAAATGGCTCCAAGAGCGCTATAGTGTAACATTACTGAGTTGTAACTTAATTAATTGACACAAGACCAATAATTACCGTAGTTATGGGCTGGCTCCAAGTGAAAGTTTCAAGGTCCAGAACATGCACATGGTCGTTCCACCCTCTAGGAAGACCTGAATTCTTTGAGAATCATAAATAAGCAGCAAGTTTTAATAAGCACTGATTAAATATTGAAGTTGAAATAGAAATTACTTTCAGGGTTACTTACCCAAAAAGAGGTCTCATCGAATTCAAACGTTCCCCGTTGTTTCCCTTCAGGAAAATAGCCATAACCTCCAAAAAATATCAGCCTGAAAGGAAACACGGACCAAGATCTGTGAGAAATCCTGTCACATCTGTTGGTGTAAATAAAGTTCTGTAAAGGCTGTGCTCAAACTGGAAAATCAGAGAAGCTCCTTTGGCTTCACTACTTTCAGTGCATCCACAGTGCAAGTTTTCCAGGTGTGGGGCCCCACTTCTTTCCTAATCGATCCTACCACCCACACTAAATCCCTCTGGAGCTGCTTCCCAGGCCTCAGGCTTCCAAGCTTTGCTCCAATTCCAAATATATGAAGCCACCAGGGTGTGCTGCCTGGTCTCTGTACTTCAGCCTTCACCACCAGGGCTCCCACAAGGCTCTCCTGGGGTTTAAATGGGATTTACCTTCAAGTTTTATCTTTGGGTTTTAGCCTCTGTAAGAAACCAATGGCATGGCCTTGCCAGGAATTCCTACTGGATTATGGAGTGATGGCAAACAATCTGCACCACCTATAATTAAACACCCACAACTCAGATTTACATCTGAACTGATCACATCAGGTATGGTAATGATGAGCTCTCTCTCCACACCAAGAACCTGAAAACCAGCACCATGGGCAATTTTATGGAATCACAGGATAGCCTGAGTTGGAAGGGACACACAAGGATTCTTCTATCTTTCCTGAGTCTCTGCAGCAAATTCCACAGTAATTATCCTAACTGTGAGCTCTCTCTCTCCATGGAATGGGAAAAGCAGCACAAGCTGCTCTAAAGTTTACTCCAGAATCACCACAAAAATCACAAAATGGTTTGGGTTGGAAGGGACTTTAAAGCTCATCCAATCCCACTCCCTGCCATGGGCAGGGACACCTTCCAC